AAGCCATAAAGGCCGGTCTTTAGACCCACAACATGGCCAGTGTCAAATATTTAAAACAAAAAACAATTGCACAATTCATATACAAAACAATGAATCACAATTATATCCACTTAATTACTTAATCCTTACTTGAAACATATCTGCAGCTATATACTAACCTTTCAGTCGCATCTTTGTTTGCAGCAACTTTTCTTTCGCAGTGAGCATTGTGGTCAATAGCTGCTAGCTGATTCCTGGCATTATATGTTGATGGACCATAAGAATGGCGTTTAGAGGCATATTTCAGAATCACATTCTTCCAGTGGCGCATTGCTCTCAAGCCATCATCATACCTTGTTGCCATCACATATAGCTTGCGAAGTAGGCCTAATTTTGTCAAATTAGTAGCGTAATTTAAAATTTTGTCTTCATTTTGAATGTCTTTGTCATCTCTATTTTCTATCCTTACTATGCATCACTCAGTGAATTTAAGAAATATTTGTCGACAACTTCTGCTGCAAGATGGGAAAGAAGCCTTTTCTTTTGTGGGTACATCAGCAGTTTCAATATCTGCTGGTATTCTGCCTGATGTACTATTAACTTCTTCTAGCTTAAAGTGTTCCATAGCTGCAGTTATTACATGGCAATCTGTTACCAAGTCAATAAAAGAACTGTCGGCGTGATAATCTTGGGAAACAGTCTTCACAACATTCCGTCTATTAATGACATAACGCAGCTGCTATAGAGTCCTTTGCTCCATTGCACTTGAAGTTGTATAAAATTTGTCCATAATAACCTAACAAAATAAATGTATTTTGGTAAAATTAGTTGAGTGTTAATGAAAATTATGAAATATATTTTCCATGATGATACTACAACTAAAAACAAAATGACTTATCTCAGACTTGACAAGCAGCTTTTGGTTAAAAGCAGCTATTAAGACCTAGTAAGATTGATTTGAATTTTGGTCTTTTAACGCCACTTTTAAGCACCGCATTTAGGCTATTTCTTGGCGTCCAGTTTTTATTGGTGGAAGAAGGTCGAGTACCTGGAGAAAACCACCGACCCTCGATAGGAAAACTGACAATCCTAGTCATTTAAGATTGTAGCCGAGTGAACCCGCACGAGCGGAGTTCGAACTCGCAATCTCAATGTTGACTGGCTAGTGATTACAGTAGTAACTACTTAGACCACTCAGCTACCGAGGCCCCTACTAAGATTGATTGATATTGTCCAGAGTCAAAACATTAATTAAAAGAGTTTCTTTAAATAGAAGAATTTTTGCTACTTTGTCTGAACTTAGGGTATAAACCATATGTTGACCATGTCTTTAAATTTTAAATTTATATAATTGTGTTGTTTGGTTGCTGACTCTTTGACTTGTAACCCACATTGCCTATAAATTATACATGTCTATTAAGAAGACAATGTATTTAATATTTAAATATTGGTATTGTATCTCTTCAAAGTGTTCTTTCTAACATAGATTCTAATTCTAAGATTCTAAACAAAAATGTACAATATCTCAATAATGGTTTATTGTTTATACATCTTAGCTTTCTTCGGACAATTTTCATAGGAGACCAATCAGCACAGAATTTTTATATAACAAAGATCTGTAACAAAAAAGAAGTAAAATTATCCTATTAACCTTCATGGTACTTGTTAAAAAAACATTTTTTCAAGAACAAATCTTCCACCATGGCTATGACTCCTTTTAATCTTTCCTCATGTGTGTCACCATCAAATCTTGCTGAATGTGCAGACCTTAATCGCCCAACACTAAGCTGGTCACCTCCACATGGTATGGTTCTCATTCCAGCACTTGTATCGTCCCTATATAAAAATGTCTTACTTAGTTATAACATAACAAATCTTTGCTAGTTTGAAAATTAATCTGTCCCTGAAGACAGCAGCAGATTCAACTCTTGTCACCATCTTTTGATCCATCAGTATAGACAGTTCTCATCCTATTCACGGTCGCCCCTTTTGTCCGTTCGCACCCTATTTTCATTAAAATATGTCTTTTAGATGTATATATATATATATATATATATATATAAATAGTTTGCCAATAACGCAAATTAATGTTTAACCGTAGATTTCAAGTTAAATCCACTTTTGAAAGAAGCTTACACGCTTAGTAAAAATTTAGAAACAGACAAAGTTTACTCCTGGTTAACCTATGTAAAAGATATTTTAAGTGAAATTAATTTAGATAGCACAAATTCAAAATATACTAGTTTAGAAAAATAAAATAAATAAATAATTTTAAGTTTATATAACAATAAGCTCTAAAAACTACTTAAAAATTTGATACATAACAAGATGCAAAGTTTATACAAGATAAATATTTGAATTGAATTTGTAGCGAAAGTGTCTGCAATCAATAACACCGGGCCTCTAACGTGAGTACCAACAGACGCAGATGAGCCCTTGCCTCTTACTCCGAATCTTATTATTACTCATAAGCCTAGCATATTGATTCCAAATGATGTGTCATTCGATTGTAAAGACGTGTATTATTCACAGTGGAAGCGTGTATAATACCTTTCAGACGCTTTCTGGAAACGTTGGCTAGTGGAAGACTTGCAAACTTGACAAGTACGGCAGAAATGGACTCAAGAAAGTGAAAACATTCAAGAAGTAGATATCGTGTTGCTCAATGATATGTCTTTATCACCAAACAAAGAAAATATTTAAATTGTTAACAAAGTAATCACTGAATTGGAGAAGGCTTTGTGCTGGCTTATAGATGCAGTGCAAACAGAAAAGGAACGTTTTCCTTAAACATTAATATATTGTACTTCAAAAATAGACGTCTCTAAAATGTATAAATATATATCGAATGAACTCCCTGGTTATATAGGAAATAGTGATGTGAATCGATCAGAACGCCCATCATCAAGAAAAGACAAAAAACCAACAGAAATAAAAAAAAAATAATGAATAAATATGCGACAAAGTTTTGGAGCTGCGTATCTAATTCAATATCTGATGCCGTTGATACAGTACATTTTAGAAAGGAAAATCCATCAAAATAGATAAGTCTAAATTTGCATCTTTGAGACCAGAAAATGTCAGACTTCTATCGGTTGTTAATTTATATTTTCTGTGTAAACGTGCGGTATAAACTGTTGACACTGAGCAGATATATAATCTAACAAAGCTAAAAAATTTCACTATGAACAATATATCCTCGTCTCGACTCCAAAACAATTTTACCAAATAATTTGATTCGATTTTTTGTGTTTTCACGCTTCTTTTAAGCACTGCATTTAGGCTATTTCGTGGCGGCCAGTTTTAATTGGTGGAGGAAGCCGGAGTGCCCGGAGAAAACCACCGACCTTCGATAGGAAAACTGACAATAATAGTCAATTAAGATTGGAGTCGAGTGCACCTGCACGAGCAGGGTTCAAACTCACAACCTGTGTTGACTGGCAAGTGTTTACAGTAGTAACTACTTAGACCACTCGGCCACCGAGGCTCCAATTTTATCAAAAGTCATCGCAGATTAGTACTAAAAACGAACTCGTGTTGTCAGTCACTTGTGACACTGATTATGAACTACCATGAGTTCCTTACTAAAATTCTCCCCTTACTTTGATTACCGACCTTAGTGGATATAAATTTTATCAAGTTTATATCCGCAAGGTGTTGGATGAGATTTTGATTAAATCTGAGCATTCTAATTGAAGCTGGGCAAAATTCAACAAGATACCATTTGTACCTGAACATAAGATTGGCAATATATTACTCAAGCTCATCGCTCAAAACCAGAAACCCCCAAAGGGTGACTGGGGTATAGAAGTATGGTCACCATTGGTCTTCCTCCGACCGGCAGTAAAACCCTTGCTAAAGTGGGGCGTCCGTTTGGCTGTGCGGGATGTACAAATTTGCAGTCACGTCCGGTCAGAATGGGGACGTTAAATCCGATGCCTCGTGTTAAGAGAGTGCCACGCTCTTTGCACGTTAAGAACCCTTTCAACAACTCTTTGAGGGGTCCGTAGGTGACCTGTTGCAAGGCTAAATTTCTGTCCCTATCCAATATACCCTCATTTCCCGTGGCAGTCTAAATTTCTCCGACCTTTATCCCGGACGCCCATATTACAGAACCTACCTATTGTATTTATTGTTAATTTGTTCTCGTCCTGAATATGCATGAAATATTTGCCACTGGACGTTAAGCAACCAACAATCAATCAATCAATTAAAACCAGAAATACAAGGTATTCCTGCCAGTTTCCTTTAGTCCACCTAAGATTATCAAAAATTAACACTGTTTACAGTGCATATAGTAAAGCAGGTATACTTTACATACTGAAATACGTGAGGGATGATGACTACAAGGAATGAAAAAAAAAAATCTCTGGGACCACATAGGACAGGCAACCAGGTACATAAGAAGGTTGTCCCTAGCGTTTCATTTGGCCTCATGTGTAAAATCTGCATACATTGGAGTGAGATGAAAGTAAAAGAATTGTTGAGCTGCTTGCAAGTACAAGAATGCCAGTAACTAACTTTGATATGGTTATAGTGTATAATTGAAGTAAGCTGTAAAAAAAAATGAAACATTTTGCCTCCATAAAGAAATGATGGACCATTTTGACGAAATTGCTGCTTTTGCTAAGGCCGAACGACTAGGTGGGGAGGATGTATATTGTCACGTTTTCAGCAATTCGCAGGGTAGTCGAGGCAATGCTCCCGGGTTTTTTTTGTAAGGGGGACGTAACTCCAGTTTAACTCATTATATATTCATATATTCACGCTATGGCGGCTAGACAATTCAGCGCGTCTGCTGGTAGCATAGCGGATTACAGTTAACCTACGGATATAAGAATAGGTAAACAGTATCCATATGATATAAAATTATTTACCGAATACATGAAATGTTATAAATTGTAAACAAGATTGCTAGGCTAGACGTGTTTTTGCTTCTCAATCGTCTGCTACTTAGCCACGCCTTCTGTTACCGTTCAACCAATCGGAGGTTACTCATTTCTAATCGCTGTCGAGGAGATGTTTGGATGGCGGACAGGCGAAGAGCACCTGCTCGCTACATTAATGAACTAACTTTAAGAGATTAGCGAGGAATTTAGCAATGACATCCTTTGATAAGCGATAAAGGTAACACACACACACGGGGCTTGCTGCATTTAGTACAAATTAATGTTTAGAATTGAATTTAAAGTAACTGCGAGAAGGCAAATTATATAACCACGTGCTTGCTGTTATCAATTAACAGTCTTTTATTTTTTCTATTGATCCAGTCAGCGCTCATAACTCAATATAATGTCAGGTATGTGCATACATTTTAAGACACGAGATCAAGAAGTCTTTATATTGTATTTATTCTCAACTCCGGGACCAATATTGTCTTTATAACAGCGAACGAGCAGTGCAAAAATCGTCCACGACCACGTGTTGCAAAAATTGTCACCGACACTGTCCACGATTTAGAGATATGATTTCTATATATTTGTTTATGTCGCACCTAATTTCCTGGGATGAGACAGGGTTAATATTTGTATTACACTTAATTTTTTTAACCTATCTGTCAATTTATTGGCATGTCTATGTCCAGAATACTTCTGACACCCACAAGTATGCCTAACATAACATTAACCATATTATAAAAAGGCATATGGCAATACAAGGTCATGAATTGAAGTAGTTTTATTTGTCGTATATTTTATGCCAGCATTCTTTGAGATAAACCTGAATCTACATTTACAGGCCCAAAGCTAAATTTTGTAAAAAAAAATATAGATTCTATCATGTCTATAGCAGTAATGATTTTTTAGTCCTGACAGCAATTTTACAAGCCTAGACTAGTGGGCCAGTAGCTGTGGTTGAGTGTAAAGACCTTGCCAGTATAGAATTGAAAATGAAACTGCTTGTCTCAGTGGTGGATCCATAACTTTTCATGAGAGCTGGCTGGCTCCAGTCATGCTTCAGAGATTCCTTATATAATCAACCATTTTCCCCCTGGACCCACCTATGACTCTTGATCTACATTTATATTTAATAAATAAATCTACTAGAGCAGTTTCTTGAGCACATAAAGTAAATAACTTTTAAAGTGCACTCGTTAAAAAACATTATTGCGTCAAAATTCAAACATTATGTACCACAAACTTAATAATTGCAATATTCAATTTAAGCTACATTGCAGTTCAGGTGTTAAACCATACATGGTGACTGTCTTGTATCGATTTTAAAAGTGACTCTCGTATAGATTTTAAAAGGGACTTTGTTAGTCTTGAATCATTTTTAATTTTAGTTTCCTGTGTATAATTTGGAGTTTAGTACGACGTCCATTATCACTGAACTAGTATACATATTTGTTTAGGGGCCAACTGAAGGACGCCTCCGGGTGCAGGAGTTTCTCGCTGCATTGAAGACCCATTGGTGGCCTTCGGCTGTTGTCTGCTCTATGTACGGGTTGTTGTCTCTTTGACACATTCCCCATTTCCATTCTCAATATAATTGAGCTATTCAATTTTAGACCACCTAATTGACTCAAACTGTTGTCTTGCTGAACTGATTTATAACATTGAATAATTAATACTGAAAAATATACCATGTATAGTGGTATGAACTAAGGTTTCATTTGGGAACAAGAAAAAATTATTAAAATATTTTATTCATTAACATTTCCAACATATTTTATGATGTGACGCTATCATTGTGAATTCTGAATATTGATGATAGTCTGATAAAACCCTCCCCAGGTTAGGGGAGGGTTGGGATCTCGCTAACATGTTTTACCCCGCCACATTCTGTATGTATGTGCCTGTCCCAAGTCAGGAGCCTGTAATTCAGTGGTTGTCGTTTGTTTATTTGTTACATATTTGTTTTTCGTTCATTTTTTGTACATAAATTAGGCCGTTAGTTTTCTCATTTGAATTGTTTTACATTGTCATTTCGGGGCCTTTTTTAGCTGACTGTGCGGTATGGGCTTTGCTCATTGTTGTAGGCCGTACAGTGGTCTAAAATTGTTAAATTCTGTGTCATTTGGTATCTTGTGGAGAGTTGTCTCATTGGCAATCATACCACATCTTCTTTTTTATATTATGTCAGTTAATTCTGTCAACCTGAAGTAGACTCAACTATAAGTAGGCAGACACACTCTATGTGCCTCTTCCAAGTCAGGATCATGTTGTTCAGTGGTTGCCATTGGTTCATGTCTGTCAAATTTGGTTTTCGTTAATATTATAATAGATAATGTTTTACAACAGCGACATCGTTAAATTATGTCATGTACGCCATATGATGTGAGGTAAATCATTCCTTAAAAGCATACAACGCAAGAGTAGGATTGGAACAGCCCAAATAAATCATGACATTGCCTTGCAGCTTACTTGTGAATATATTTGAATTTTACAATGGGCAATTGATGGGAGTCTCTCTCAAATAGTTTAAAGAATGTCATGTTAGAATGTAATGTATGTCTGGGTCTGTTTTATTTCATGTTTAAAATTGGAACATATATATATATATATATGTAGATGATACTAATGCATGTTCCTCTATAAGAAACATGTTTGTTAAGTAATGCATATTTCTATTCTTCTTTTAACTTTGATCATGTATTTTAAATGAAATAAATTACCTATTCTATTATACTTATGGGCGCATTGCATTTGTTCCAATTTTGACAAAATCCAATCTTTCATTAATGCGCCACAAGGTTATATTTCATTTGCGCCATTTTACAGGTAACATATAACAGAAAAGTTCAAAATATTAATGGCGACATTGTGAATAAGATATAAGTATACCCCCTGTGTATGACTAATTTTAAAACGTTCATTCTTATTGTTTAATAATTTAATTTTGGATGTAATGCGTCTTCTGATTGGCTTATGTTGTTTTGTTTATCAGCTTATAGACATAATTTTGTCATGTGACCGTGACGTCATCAACGTTTTTTCATGGTTTACTCCGGTTTAAAATGGAATTTAGAATTAATTTATTAGAAATGACTGTAATATTTTTTCTGTCTATTCGAAATAACATAAAAAATGTGGTGCACATTTTAAAATAACCCGCTACGCGGGTTATTCAGTGTGCACCACATTTTGATGTTATTTCTTCATAGACAGAAAAAATATTACTGTCATTCCTTAAATATAAAATTGCGAGTCACTTAGGTTAAAAATTATATAGCGTTCACAATTGTGAGGTGTCAAGATAGACTTTGTCAATTCTTAGTAAATTTCCATCAGTTTTCTCAGAATTAGATTGTTACGTATTTTTCATGTTGGGCCGTTTATAGCCGACTTTACAGAATATGCTTTTTGAAGACCGTACAGTTGTCTTTGGTGGTTTTCGGCCACTTCATTTGAATTTTAGGGATGGTTGATTCATTTGCACTGATCATACCACATCTCCTTATTTTACATATAGAGGAAATAAGCTAATATTTATAACCACACATATATGGTGTTTGTTTTAAATGACCCAACAAATTACAATCAATTGTTAATTGTAAATGAAAATAAAGGGAAATATTTGATTTGATAATTTCTGTATTCATATTTTTAAAAGATGGTCACTCTGCATTTACCCAGGATTGTGACTGGCAAGAATAAATCTTGGCTGCATTACCCACCTCCCTCCCACTTAACTTTTTACACCAATTTACAGAAAAAATAAATATTTTCCCCCTTTTTTTTTGCATGCAGTAACAGTCAAACCTTGTTGTGTTGAAAACTCCGATAAGTTCAGGTATGTTGTCAGTTATTCGGTAAAATTTTGTCAATGCACTTCTCCTTCTCACAAGTCAAAAGTCTGCAGATTTTAAATCTTGATTACTCAAGTATATTTCAAATTGCCTTGAAGAAAACTTAACCTAATGTAAATTAAACATGATGCGTCAAAGTTTGAAGTAAAAGAAAAAAAAATTAGGTTATCCACTATTCAGGTCATTTAAATTCTAAAATTATCTGTCTTCCTTTTTTTAGAATAATAATCATGACAATAAAAATTGCAAATTAAACTTATTGTTTGTTGACAGCTTTCGTGTTTAACCATGGAAAACTAATGGTTGTGGAATACATTTTACCTCTGATAATTGTAAAAAAAATAAAAATAGACCCAACTTTTGCAAACCTAGAAGAACCAATAAATGACACCATAATAATTTGAATTACAATAAAACTATGTAAGAAAAAAGACTGCACACAACAGATATATAAACACTGGAAAAAATTCAAAATATATTTATTTTGTTTGACAAGTACTCCAGTATTTTATACCATCATGATCTTTATCTTTTGTAAACACGATACTGGTTTTTTAAATTAAATATTTGTTATATATACACCATAGATGCTGATGAATGGGAATAAGTCAATAACTAATACTTTTTCCGTCTCAACATACCAAGGTTAACAATTAAGTTAAGATATAGGAACAAGGAATGACAAAAGTAACTCCTGACTTAAGATGAATCAAAATGTTTTGACCTTTCCCTTTTACAAATGTTTACTCATTGTTACTTAGACTTAACAAGATTTGACTGTATGTACATGATGTATATTCATCTTTGTATAAAACTGGATGAATGTTTTTTTTTTATATTTTTTTATATAAAAAGTATACAAAATTGATAAAGAAAAATGATGTATTTACAATATTAAAATAACAAGTTTTCTAAATTCTCTTTCCTGAGCCCTCGTAATAGCAGTTCCATGACGTGAGTAACAGTTCAGCCAGAGTCTTTTCAAAAAGCAGTCTTTTGTTTGCAGGTGATTTCAACAGCAAGGCTTGAAGATGCGACTGTTTCTGGACCACTTTTGTCTGAATTTTGGCATGACTGCAATCTAGTGCTGCCTGAAATGAAGACACACCAGGACATCTCTGAATTCTGTCATAATCTGCTTTCAGCTGTCTCATTTCCTCAGTCTCTCTAAAAAGCAGTTCCAATTTTTCCATCTCTGTCATCATGGTCAATTTGTTTAGCGTTTTATCTGAAAGGGAAAATAAAATCAACATCAGTTATGATTTGCACAAGTGAAGATAAATATATAAACTGGTTTCCTGGATGATGACAGAATTCAATAGGATAGGATGTAAGTATATCACTAGATATGGGGAAGATTTCTTTACTTCAATGCCTTAACAAAATGTCTGGAAAAATGTGTTGGGAAAGGCATTCAAATTTATGCAGAATAGGGAGCAGCGGTCTTTAAATACTATGCTCATTGACTCACGCATTTCAACAACCAGACAAGTAATTTTTTTAAACTAGTTTGCCCATGGCCAATTTAAAAAATGCACTTGACAGAATTCAGTTAAATCAAAAACATTTACAACTTATGAATATGTGTAAATGCAAAAATTGACAATATAAAATGGATATTTACATGATTTAAGTCAAACATCAAGGTTAATGACAACAAGTATTAAAAAAACATTGAAAAATATTGATAAACTAAATAAAAAAAGAATTATTAAATCTGAGTCGGGGCTTGTTGATTAGTTTTTATCTGCCATCAAACGGAAGTGAAATTTTAATTTTTCATGATTGAGTGAACGTTGCAACATGTTCATTGAGATGGGTAAATAACTGATAAAAAACTTCTTGACTGGGTAATTAAGACAAAAAGAATGAAAATGACAATGATGAAACAAAGAAAAAACACGTAAAAGCAGGCAAAGGAAGACAGGGAATTCCTGATGTCGTGGCTTACAAATTTCACGATGCTCTCCAGTGAAAAAAAACCTCTTCAAATAGCATGAAAAGATTTAATTGTGCCAAAATTTGTAGGAAATACCAACAACTTGCTTGTCATCTTCATTTGTTTGCAAATTAATAGATAGAAGTTAAAGGATACTTGGGTGGCCCAACAATTTTTCTGTAAAACACCAATGGTAGGGACTGGTCAAGACTTAAAACATTTTTAAATACTCAATAAACATATAAATTGGAAAAAATAAAGGATTTCTTCATCTCAATACTTATTACATGTATTAATACTGTCTTCTTGCAAAAGGGTCTGGATTTTATTTACAGAATATATATTTTTCCATAGAATTTCTTATTAATTGAATTTTTTTTCAGCATTTTTCAATAAAATAGACCTTTCTAATTACTACATTTGTGTTGCGTATAATTGAAGTTGTAACACTATTTAGTAACTGGACAGGTTGAACTAGACTTTTCAGCTGATCAGCAGAAAAATGAGATAAAGAAATCTTTTATGAAGTGCAGAAAATTTTGTTTGGCATATATGACAAGCTAAGTATAACACTGTCATTCAAGCTTTCTATTGCACAATGGTACATGCAAAGTTTATAAGACTTGACAATTACAAAAATGCTGACCAAAGGTAATTCTTTTTAATTGCTAACAAGTATTTACATTACAGTTTAAAGCAGTTTAAGTTACATACTATTGCTTCTTTCTTTTTGTCTAGTTGATTTCCCCTCAATTGCAGATATTGCTGTATCAGAAGTAACCATTTTCCATCTGTGATTTTCCTTTTCTGAAATGAACATTATAATGAATATGAATAATTTAATATATGATGTGTGGTCCTTTTAAGCATAAAATGTAAACAGATTTTTAACTAATTGATTGAATGACATATACAGTATTGCACCTAATAATATGACAGTCAACCATATAATTATTTTTTTTAAGTTATCGATACAATAAAGTAGAATTGTTTTGCATCTTACAGAATCTCACTAATTTATTTTATAGATCATATCCTGTTCTCAACAGAGGTGTATTTTGCAGACCATTCAACATGTTCAATACCCAAAGGCCTGACAAGTTGAAGAAAAAATATAGAAAAGGGTAACCTTTAAAATAATTTGATAAATATGATAATTTATTAAGAATGTGCAACAGAGGCCTAGGTCTTATATGCTTATGTATAAGCTGACTCAAAGATTATGATTACTGAAATAAATGTATACTCTTACCTTCATCATCCCTTTCTTTGCCAAAATTCAATTTTCTCTTGACAGCTCCTCTTGCTTGACCTGTTTTTAATAAAATTTATTGAAATGTTTGTTTTAACACACTTTTGTCATGTTAATGTGACTTAGTTCCTATACTTTTTTAAATTATTCATTGCAGGCTTTCTTGTACCATTCTGACAAGTAATTTGCCCATGTCAAAATGTTCTGATCAAATTGTGATAGTGGAGTTTAATTTAAATATACATGTACAGTGACTAATATTTCATATTTAGACAAGAACCCTATTAAGTAATATGAATATGAATCCATACTTCATACTAGAATGCCACACTGAGTTTGTTTTTGAAATGGTACATTCTATAGTTTATTTAGGGGCAATTGATAATACGTGTTTTCTTCTAATCATTATAGGATTAAAACACATTTTTTCTAGAGGTTATTGATGTGTAAACCGGGGCTATTAACTCACAAACTGAATAAAAGTCCGAAGGAAAAAATCTAATTGACCAATCCAATTCAAGTATTTTTAGATATGCAAATCATATAAGAATTATTTGTTATTAAATAAAGAATTAATGTGTAAAGGTAGATGTAATGTCAAGAGGAAAAAAAAATAATTAGTTATACTGTCTAAACAAACCTTTGCATTCAGATGGTTTTGTAATTTGAAGTTTTGTCCAGTTCTTTACAGCATAATTGCTAACTGGTCTAGTGTTGGATAGAACTTGTGTAGGTCCTGTAAAAAAGACATTTTTTGTAACACATGTTCATTTTGGGTCTTTATCTATGTGATTGTTTTGTAAAAGAATGGTTGAATAATAGCTGCATCTGAGATAACCTGAACTTAAATATTGAAATATTTCATTGCATGTGATCAATTTATAATTTAGCAATTATTTAAAGATATTGTACAAATTGAGATAGTTTCTTTTTAAACTTTTTTTTTTCTATAGTTTTGACCCCCAAGGATGACTGGGGAATAGAAGTATGGTCACCATTGGTCTTCCTCCGACCGGCAGTAAAACCCGTGCTAAAGTGGGGCGTCCGTTTGGCTGTGCGGGATGTACAAATTTGCAGCCACGTCCGGTCAGAATGGGGACGTTAAATCCGATGCCTCGTGTAAAGAGAGTGCCACGCTCTTTGCACGTTAAGAACCCTTGCAACAACTCTTTGAGGGGTCCGTCGGTGACCTGTTGCAAGGCTAAATTTCTGTCCCTATCCAATATACCCTCATTTCCCGTGGCAGTCTAAATTTCTCCGACCTTAATCTATTACAGAACCTACCTATTGTATTTATTGTGAACTTGTTCTCGTCCTGAATATGCATGAAATATTTGCCACTGGACGTTAAGCAACCAACAATCAATCAATCAATCTATAGTTTTGTGTTGTTGACTTTTTTTAGAATCCACCAACCTTGGCGATTAGATTGAAGATCAGTTGGTAGCTTTGTACAGTCTTTGACAATATCGTGGCTAATCTGTGTGTTTCCTTCTAAGAGTTCCATGGATTCTGCAAATGAGTATACAAGTAGTTTATTATATAAATATTTTTTTTGGGGGGTTATACATTGTCCACATGCAGCTTTAGCAATCTTTGATTGTATAAGAAAGCAGTTTTTTGTTTTTTAACTTTATGGTTATTCCATTAAAATGTATATTGGAGAGTAGGAAGGAAAGTTTGATTATTGAATGTTGGTGATGGCTCTTTTTATGTCCCATTTATGAGCATTATGTTTTCTGGTCTATGCGTCCGAACTTGAAACTTAGTACACATGTTCCCTTTCTTTATACTATTAATAATATGTTAATATGTAAATGACGATAATTGGTTTTTGTCCCAATGAGAGAACAATGAAGTTGAACTAAATACCAAATGACAATATTGTTTACTGTGCTGCTTTAAAAATAAGCCATTTATGGTTAAATGTTAATTAAAATATTGTAGTATGAAATAATAGATGTACTTACTGGTACTGCTTTTGCAATTATTAACTATTGCATTCACTTCAATCGGATAATAAGTACATGTATGTAGTTCTTTTTGAGACCATCTGAGAACTGAAAAATGAAAATTATTTTATTTTATAAAAATCTGTAATACATATATAGCATAAAACATTTTAGTTAAAAATAAAACTTTCTGATTTTTTTTTTTCTGGAATAAGGTTTTTCCATAGAGACATTACATTATTTGTAGTATTTGTATTCATCTGATGAGTTAAGCCTTTTTCAACTGATTTTTATACGACCGCAAAATTGGTTTTCACACTCTAACTTTAGTTTAAGTGAATGGATCTCTATGAAATTTTACCATAAAGTTCAATACCACAAAAGGAAGGTTGGGATTGATTTTGGGGGTTACGGTACCAGCAGTTAAGGAATTGGGGGCCAAAAATAAGCATTTTGGTAACTTCCAGACATAACTTGTGTGTTAGTGTATGGATCTCTCTGACATTGTACCACAAGGTTCCATATCACAAAGGGAATGCTGGGATTGATTTTGGGAGTAATTGCCTCAAAATTTTAGGTATTAGGGGCCAAAAAAGGGGCAAAAAACAAGCATTTTTCTAGTTTCAGGACAATAACTTGTGTGTAAGTGTAAGTGTATGGATCTTTCAGAAATTGTACTACAAGGTTCCATATCACAAAGGGAAAGCTGGGTTTGAGTTTGGGGGTAATTGCCCTAAACGTTTAGAAATTTGGGGCCAAAAAACAAGCATTTTTCTTGTTTCCAGACAATAACTTGTGTTCAAGTGTATGGATCTCTCTGAAATTGTACTGCAAGGTACCATACCACAAAGGGAAGGCTGGGATTGAGTTTGGGGGTGATGAATCATAAGGGAGTTAAAAAAAAATAATATTTTTTTTTTTTTGGGGGGGGGGGGGGCTTTTTTTTATTTAAAATTTTCCATTTTAAATTGGTTATTTCTGATTTATATATAAAAGCAAATAATAATGATGTGGTTTGAATAGGTAAATTAAAAAAAATTAAGTTCTTAGACCACATTCATTCGGTGTCAGAAACCTATGCTGTGTCAAATATTTAATCACAATCCAAATTCAGTGCTGTATCAAGATTGAATGTTGTGTCCATACTTGCCCCAACTGTTCAGGGTTCGACCTCTGCTGTTATATCAAGCTGCGTGCAGCAGAGCATTTTATTATAGTTCTTATGTTGTACTGTTACACCACTGTCCCAGGTAAGGGGAGGGGTTGGATTCCCCTAACATGTTTAACCCCGCCACATTCTGTATGTATGTGTCTGTCCCAAGTCAGGAGCCTGTAATTCAGTGGTTGTCGTTTGTTTGTGTTTTACATAATTATTTTTCGTTCATTTTTTGTACATAAATTAGACTTTTAGTTTTTTCGTTTGTTTTGTTTTACATTGTCATTTCGGGGTCTTTTATAGCTGACTATGCGGTATGGGCTTTGCTCATTGTTGAAGGCCGTATGGTGACCTATAGTTGTTAATTTCTGTGTAATTTTGGTCTCTTGTGGAGAGTTGTCTCATTGGCAATCATACCACATCTTTTTTTTTATAATTACTAGCTGTTTAGATATTGACCTGATTTCATGAGTGATATTTAAGTATGACATAATTTTGTTACCTTTCATGTAAGACTTGTACAATTTTTTAGTTTCATCATTTTCAGGGTTTGGATATATATTGACTTTAGCTACTGCAGAAACACCACATAGTCAACTATTGGAGCTGTAAAATAAGAATTAATACAGATGAAATTAGTGAGTTAATTTTTGGCACCAACAGGAAAATATTTGATAGCAAAACAAATTGCTGAAGAAAACCAACAATAAAAAATAAAAAGTGTTTACAGACAACATACATTTTGTCACCATGGTCACTAGAAAAAAATAATCCTTTCAAGGTTTCACACTATTTTGTAAAAAGGCTTATTAAAAATCAAACTCGCATGATGAAAAAAGAAGACACGACAAGATGACACCTAATCTATAAAACAACTGATAGCGTACTTTTCAAGAATGTTCCAAATTACAAAATAATCTGCTTATGTTTTAATCTTGAACTACATTTCCTTTCTTTTATTTTCATTTATTTATTTTTCTTTTTTCTTTTTATTTTACTGAATATTCCATCAAGAAACATACTAGGATTGGCAGATTGGCAGACTTGTGGTAGTTCAAGATCTGGATCTTCTGTCAGTATGGGTTCACTGTCTTTGCCATCGTCAATGATGGGTGTTGCAATAGGTAGCATTTCTGTAAATCAAAATAACGGACCATCATATACTGGTAAGTACAATGAGACTGTGTTTTTCATATTTGTGTAGATATTATTCTTAAAAGCTTGAACCTTTTCATCTTGAATGTTATGTGGGAAGATGATTTGAAATTATAAGTAAAATTATTTTTTTATTGTAAGTGGCCTTAAAAAATGTATTTTCAGGAACATTCCTCATTTATAGATAATGAAATGGATTGATGATAAATTAATGTATGTGTAAGTAATAAAAAAATAAGTACCCAAGTTTTCCAGTTTAGAAGTTGTATTTGTATTCACACCATCATTACTTTCATCAGATTCTTCACTGGTTTCATAATTTACTGTTAACAAAAAATATCAACATGTAAGGGTGCATTACCTTAATTTATGGACATTGGTGTAATAATTTGAAAGATTGGTGATAAATCATGTGTCTATTCCAAATAATTTAATGGATATACATATAGTTTATTAAGAAAATGATCAATATTTCTAATTTGTGACAATCGTCCTGAATATGCATGAACTATTTGCCACTGGACGCTAAGCAACCAACAATCAATCAATCTAATTTGTGACCAGCACTTAAAAAAGCACTTAAACTATCCAATGCATCCAATACCAACACATAAAAAACACTTAAAAGTAGTGAATTATTAATTATTTGTTTTAATATGAATAAAAGATATTGAGACAGTCATGACAGTAACTTAGCCAAAAGACATATATGGCAACGAACAGTTCAGCAAACGTAAAATTTAATACAATATGCAAAGCTATAATTTGCCATTGATAATCAAAGATCAATGTGACAGCAACCCAACTTATATTTTCTTTTTATTTATTATGATGTTCACATGCTTTTATATTCTTTCTTACATTTTTGAAGATTTAGAAGTTGAAATGTGTACAGCAGCAAGAAACTTACCATGATTCCTAACTGTGTTGATATTTGCCTCTTCATTGTTGACTACTGCAGATGCAACGGGATGAATAATTTCTGTAAGAATAATTCAAAAAAATCTTTACACACACTGTGACACTGCCAAAAATGTTATAAAGTACTTATTGCACATGTTCACACAATAATGATAACTTGTAGTTTTAGATGCAAAAAAATTATGACTGTTATGTGGATTGTATAAAATGTTCAAAGTTTATGTTAATCAAATAAAAGTGTAGCAGCAAATGAAAAAATCAATGGAAATCTCAGCAAACAAGGATAAGATAAAAAAAATTAACGATATTGTAATGAAACAGATGGCATACGAGAGAGAGATTAAAAACTTGTATTGAAACAGATAGCATATAAGAAGAAAAAAAAAAAACAATATCATTATGAAACAGTTGCATACGAGAAAATATATAAAAATGCACACTTTATTGTATGTTTACTATGTTTTATACTGATATAGTCTTTTACATGAGTGATAAAGGCATCTGGACACACAAAATTGCAAATGATTGCCTGCTCAATGGATAATATGAACGAGAGACATATTATATCATAAAACAGTATATTTCACCTTTTTTTTAATCATTGTTAGACATGTGTATATATATAGGTGTCTACATACGTTTCATGATGAATTTTAAATGAATTAATTAATGAACTTGAAAATAATTTTACTGGAAATTTGATGTTAAAAAATAAACACCTACCAGTGTTTTCTTCATCAGAACTTTCATCCTCAAATATGTCAGTGAAGAGAGTCTTTACAAGTTGATCATTTCTATAACACTTGATTTTATGAACAGGAATTTTAATTGTACTTTTTTCCACTCTTTTTAGAACTTCATCCCAACATTCCAACAAGTAACTTTGTTCTTCTGCCAATGTTGTAGACCTGAGATTATGTAATGGTGGACTATTGCTGTCAAGTTCCTGATCTACAGTATCGTGGAAGATCACAGAGCTGGCTGATAGAGACCACCACACGCCTTTGCCACATAGGAGGAAATATGGTATTCTCTGAAGATGGCATTGAAACTGATAAGGGTTTTTAATGATGTCAGTAATTGTTATTGTGGTATTGTTTTTCTTGTCAAGAAACTTTGCTTGCTGGCTGATGACAGACTCTTGTTTCTGTATAGACTCAATTACACTATGGCTTTCTTGTTGAGCATTAAACCACAAAACAGCATTGTCAACTACATATTCTGGTTGGCGATTGCTTGTATTTTTTGAAATTGATCTAATATCAACAAATGTTCTCTCTTCTTCTTCAGGAACAACAGATCTAAGGCAAAGCAATCTGTATGTTTCAGGTGCATGTATGACCAAACTATGATTGATTGATTGATTGTTGGTTGCTTAACGTCCAGTGGCAAATATTTCATGCATATTCAGGACGAGAACAAGTTCACAATAAATACAATAGGTAGGATCTGTAATAGATTAAGGGATTAAGGTCGGAGAAATTTAGACTGCCACGGGAAATGAGGGTATATTGGATAGGGACAGAAATTTAGCCTTGTAACAGGTCACCTACGGACCCCTCAAAGAGTTGTTGCAAGGGTTCTTAACGTGCAAAGAGCGTGGCACTCTCTTTACACGAGGCATCGGATTTAACGTCCCCATTCTGACCGGACGTGGCTGCAAATTTGTACATCCCGCACAGCCAAACGGACGCCCCACTTTAGCACGGGTTTTACTGCCGGTCGGAGGAAGACCAATGGTGACCATACTTCTATACCCCAGTCACCCTTGGGGTTGACCAAACTATGGAAATGACTTCCATAGAACTTCTTTGCAGTCATTTTTTGGGGGGATTCTATCACCTTTAGACATGCTAGAGCAAAAACAAAGCATTGATTATGCAGTCTCAGAACAAACCTCTGATTTCTAGCATCATGACCACTGTAGCAGATGTTGATTATTTCCAACAAGGCATTGCTTAAGTTCAAAACATCATTCTGTATTTTGTTCACTTGATGCAGGTTTTGTATAAATTTTGCCAACTTTACTGCATATAGCCTTGCATCCGACCCTTTTATTTGATTTGTTTTCCCAATAGTTGACTGACTAAATTTTTCTAGTTGTTTTTTAACTTCACTGTTTTGGATGTGATGTGGCAGTTCCATGATGATATGTTGAACAATGTTAGTTATGTCATGCAGAGGTTCACATGCTAATACTTCATATCTTGAGCAGTTAATCGTGTCTGCTGGATTTTCAGGTTTATGACACATTAATGCTGGTGGTCGTTGTATACCCTTAAGTTCATTTTTTAGTTGTTCCAATTCAGATTTAGATTTTCTGTTAGTGTTGAATCCCCTGGTTTCTAACTCATCTGCCATGTCATCCTTTTTAAGATGAGATAGAGGACATGAATTGTCAGATAAATTCCTCCAATGGAGACCTTTGATGAAAATCTGTCTCCTTTCCTCTAAGGATTTCATGTTGGTATTGTATGCACAATGCAGATTTCTGTGGTCTTCTGCTTGAATACCACAAATACACGCAAAATTGCCTCCTTGCTGCTGGCCAGCTTCAAATTGGCGTGCTGGTCCATCACCACTGAAAATTCTGATTTCGTCAGTGATTTTTATTCCTCCAATACATGTGGGTTGAATAAAGTTCATAAGATCTTTGACCCGTTCTGCAACAAAACTTAACTGTTCATCATTTGTACTTTTGGATCTCCCCAAGATGTATAGGTGGGGACGTTCAACCACAGATTGTACATAAAGGTTGGATCTCTCTGGAAATTTTGCCTTATATTCCTCGTTAGTTAAATACAGGGCTTTGTCATAAATGATGCTAAGCATAAAGCTTACAAAAGTATGATTCAGTACATCAGAATGGTCATGCCAGAATTTTAGCATACGATTCCTCTCCAGATGTTTCAGTTCATTACTGTTACTATTATGAGTAAACTGCTGTCCTAATCTTTTATACCTGTTAATAGAAATTCAAATGTCACAGATGTTTTGTATCATAGTATACAATTTCCTGCAGATAAAATAGCATGCACATTTTATTAGTCCCCTACCCACAAAGTCGAAGGGGACAAAAGGTTTGCACTCGTCTGTTCATCTGTCAGTGCGGCAAATCAATTTTCCACACCTTTTTCTTCGTTCTTGAAGATATTGATTTGATATTTGGTATATAGTTTTTTCATGACAAGTTATAGATCAAGTTCAAATTTTGTTCCGGTCTGATGATTTAGTCCAGAGGCATGGTCCATATCAAATGTTAAGGTACTATGTTAAACCATATTTCTGTACAAAGGGAGATAACTCATTTTTTAAAGACATTCTTTGGTAAATTGTTCAAAATATTTTGTTGCAGGTTTGTTATTTTGTATAAACCAATTTTCTTAATGCTAAATTTATATCTTTTTTTATGAAGTGAAATCCTTTAATCAGATAATAATCTATTTTTATCAAGGTATATATTTCATTACATTACATTGTGTAGATAAAAAGTTGTTAACATTTTATAGATAAATTACAAATCTATATTAGTTTGTGACATATAGAGGAAAGAAATATTTGGTACTATTAATTATATTTGATTATAATGTATAAATAGATATGCATTGTATTATATCATATCTAATGTTTGTGTTTTCCACAATTTGTTTCATCATGCTTGAAGATATTGATTGATAATTGGTTTATAGTTTTATCATGACAAGTCACAGATCAAGTTCAAATTTTTGTTTTGGTCTGATCATTTTGTGAAGTCCTTGGACTTGAAAAATTCACTCATATAATCAGTTCATAGGGACTATGTATTGCTATGCAATACTGTGAGAATGCTTGTCTCATTGGCAATTATACCACATCTACTTATTTTTATGATTATTTATAATGTGGTCATACATGTACCTTTCTTCCAATTCATTTGAAGTTAACTGATCATAGTGTATATCATCATACAGACGCATCAATCCACCTTCAACATGTTCATTTAATATTTTCTGTCTGAGTTTTGTAAGTTCGAATTTCCTGCTGTAGATTGTTGTTTTCTTCTCTAACAATTTGCCTGAAATTAAGTTCAAATTATTATATAAAAACAACTTTGAAAGCCATGGTGAAATACTGTTTGTTTATTTCTATATATACCCTGTATGTAATATATTATTGTTTGGCAATCCAATAAGATAAATGTATGCTGGTTGGATGATGTGATTTTTAGGTATAACATGTGTGATGGGGTATTAATATGCGTTTATCCTCAATTACATCATAAATTGGTTATTTCAATTGTTTATGCAGGGATGGGTGGGCTTAAAAATGTCTTCCAACCTAATCTCTACATTTTTTTTATTGCATTGCCCGTGACAATTTTTAATAGCAGGATTTTTTGCATGTCCACTACAACTACATGATTTCTGATGTATTAATGAATTTTTACAGATTTTATTTTTTAACCTTCAATGCAAGAATTGTTTGTGCTTTTTCAACATAAATCTTTATGATTAGGTAATTATGTTATCAAAATAACACATGTATGTAATGTTCATTTTTATGTATAATGTGTAGACCTGTTTTTTACATAACTCTGTTTTTAACCTGTTCGTATTATGTTGTATATATACATGTACATTTATCATACAAGTTTTGGTTTGTTTGTTGGTCAAAGTGATCAATGGTTATTTTTTTCTGCAAAGACCAACAAGATCTGGCCTGTTTTTTGATAGTCTTTTCCTTTTTTTGTTATCTAACATTCACTTTATTTTAGCTACACCATAGGGCATTTGTCTTGTTGCTGACAAGAAAAAATCGTTTTATAAAATAAATACCGGTCAAAGTTACCATGATTTTGTCTCGCCTTGACGGAGCCAAAAAGCGAGACATAGGTATGCTGTTTTCGGCGGGGGCAGCGGCGTCAACAATGTTTTAGTTTGATTGATTGATTGTTGGTTGCTTAACGTCCAGTGGCAAATATTTCATGCATATTCAGGACGAGAACAAGTTCACAATAAATACAATAGGTAGGTTCTGTAATAGATTAAGGGATTATGGTCGGAGAAATTTAGACTGCCACGGGAAATGAGGGTATATTGGATAGGGACAGAAATTTAGCCTTGCAACAGGTCACCTACGGACCCCTCTAAGAGTTGTTGCAAGGGTTCTTAACGTGCAAAGAGCGTGGCACTCTCTTTACACGAGACATCGGATTTAACGTCCCCATTCTGACCGGACGTGGCTGCAAATTTGTACATCCCGCACAGCCAAACGGACGCCCCACTTTAGCACGGGTTTTACTGCCGGTCGGAGGAAGACCAATGGTGACCATACTTCTATTCCCCAGTCACCCTTGGGGGCTGTTTTAGTTTGTGATTAGGTCTAGTTCATGGTGAACCACTAGTGGTAGGTCAATGATATTTGGTATGCAGTTGTATTAGCATTGGCACATCTCATTACCATGGAGATTATTTGGCCCCTCCCCCTCAGTGAAGGTCTATTGACTTTGAAACTTTTCATAGTTTACATGTAATAGTTTGTGATTAGGTCAATTTATTGGAAACCACTAGTGGTAGGTCAATGATATTTGGTATGCAGTTGTATAAGCATTGGCATATCTTATTTCCATAGAGATTATTTGGTTCCTACCCCTCAGTCATGGTCTATAGACTGAAAATTTTGCTAAGTTTACATGTATTAGTTTGTGATTAGGTCAGTACAAGGGGAACCATTAGTGGTAGGCCAATATTAATTGGTGTTCAGTTGTATAAGCATTAGCACATCTCATTTCCATGGAGAATATTTGACCCCACCCCCTCAGTCATGGTCTATTTACTTTGAAACTTTTGCATAGTTTACATGATTTAGTTTGTGATAAGATCAGTTTAAGATGAACTGGTAATGTTAAGTCAATGATATTTGGTATGCAAATTTATTGGCATTTGCAAGTATCGTTTCCATTGAGATTATATAGCCCCACCCCTGATAATGGTTCATTGACTTCGAAACTTTTACACAGTTTACAAGTTAATGTTTGTGTTTAGGTTTGTTTAAAGGGAACAACTTATAATTGGCAGATCTCATTCCATGGAGATTGTTTAGCCATGTACCTTCAGTCATGGTTCATCGACTTTGAATATTTGCATAACTTACATGTTAAAATATTGCTATTTTAATTTCAACATTTGCATTATCAAAATTACAAAAAGGTGAGACATCTCTGTGATAACAGTTTATTTAATTTCTGTTTTAATCTAGTACTATTTTGTGATCAAAGTGGAAGCAATTATTAATTGAGAATATTGTTTGTTTAATCTGTATTGTTTATTTATTCTGTATTTAAGATATATATATATATATGAAATT